GACTGGTTAAAACAGAGTCTGTTATATCCRTGCCTTTAGCACTAACGTCTTTTGTCCACTAATAAAAAACATCTCCCTCGTGAATCACAGCCTAACAAAGTATGTATTTAGTCCACTTTTTTCTTGATAAGATTTTACTGTTTGTGTTCAAAAGAAAAGTAAAATTTTAAATTTATTTWAAAACAGCTGAATGCTATAGTGAAAATCTACTGTACAGTACGTCAGATAACACCTAATTTGTTTGTTCTGTCTGATCAAAGTGGTGATTTGCTGTCTTCAAAACATTTTCTATAAGCATGTCTAAGGTAACAGAATTGTTAACTCATCATATTCCTTCCCTTAACATAAAGCTGCAAGAATAACACGAGCATTAGGTGTACATTATTAAACTCTACAGAACATGTCAGTGTTCATTTCAGATTTTCCCCCTGGCATGACTTCTCGGCACTCATTAAAAACCCCACATCTCTGAAACATCCTGCAGCACACAAACTGATGTACTGTGATTATCTTTGCCCGTCAKAGTCCGAGTCAAATGAGGTCCGTGACTTCAACGGGGCACCAGCACTGAGCTGTCTTTGCTTCAAATGGCAGAACTCCCTTGTTATTCATGCTTAGTATAGACCAGACCAATTATTTGCTCAGAAGGCCTTGGAACACACTGTAGTGCACCAGATARCTTTATAATGAATATCTGAAATGAAAATTCTGGTGCAATAGAAATCCAATCACATATTTTATATATGAGTTAGGTCGCTCAAGGACCAAGGTGAAAATAGTGATGATATATATATATATATTTTTTTTTTCTTGTTTGTGACATGACATGACTTTATCAGTTCCCCATTCCGGCCTTTCGCTAAGGACTTAGTAACTTTTCAAGCTGGAAAAACTCCATGTATTTTTTATGTCCATACACAAAAAAGAAAAAAGTTAAACAAAAATTTAAAAGTCAAATGTGTTTTAAAAAAAGGATATACTGGCACGTCTGAGTAAGAGTGAAATGGAAATTGAAACCTCCAGCCCCTGTACTGTTCAGGATCATTTTCAATTTCTTTATTATTTATAATACTTTTGGGGTTTTTCTCTTATGAAAACTTATGTTCTTCCATCCTCTTTTCCCTTCTTGCTCTTTGCTGAAAACTTCATAAAACCCAAGAGTCACATCATTTACCATATTGAATATTCCTTCCTTATTTTTCCCCAGTCCTTCAGGTATGACTCTGCCAGCTCCATACTACCGACCGGAGGAAGACGATGAGCGCCCCTTCATCTGCTCCCTCGCTTCGGACAATGGCATCATGTCGTGTACTGACGTGCCAGCAAGACGTGAAGGGGGACGCATTTGTTGTCTAGACAAAGAAGATGCTCTGCACAGGCAGGCTCTGGGTCTGAGTCCTGAGCCTCTGTCCAATGGCAGCGGTGCTGGTGAGGCGCTGGGTCTGTGCATCAACTGGAATCAGTATTACACTCGGTGCCACACGGGAAGTACTAACCCTCACAAAGGAGCCATCAACTTTGACAACATTGTTTACGCCTGGATTGTCATTTTTCAGGTTTGATTGAACTCCTTGTGAATATATGTTCAAATAAACTGTAACAGAAATTCTTTTGACAAAAGTAATCATGGTATTTCCTTTTAGGTGATCACGTTAGAGGGCTGGGTTGAGATCATGTACTACGTGATGGATGCCCATTCCTTTTACAACTTCATCTACTTCATCTTACTCATCATCGTGAGTAAAACTTCTTAAACTATCTCTGCTGCTARTTCATGCAGTATGAATTGCTAAAGGGCGCATATCATGCTCCAACATGTAAGGTTGGAYGGACAAGTCTTCCATTGTTAACATCTATTACTTAATTTGTAAATGAAACATTTCTGCACTGCAARATAGTTGTAAACCCCTCCCTTTTCATGTGGGTTTAAAGAGACTGCTGAGACACACCTCAGAAAATRGGTTCAAGAGGGGCTTGTGGAGTTACAATACAGAAGAATTCAGACCAAAGCTTTGCAGTTCCTCTTTATATAAACCCCAWCTGAATGATTTAAATGTGAAAAAGAAAAAGTAAATGGTCTGAACTTATGGGCTTTATCAAGCACAGTCAGACCCCAAAGCGCTTCACACTACAGACATCACCCATTCACACACACACTTTCACATCCTGATGATGGTAAGCTACATTGTAGCCACAGCTGCCCTGGGGCACACTGGCAGCATAGAGTGATTTAAAAGCATGCTGTGTCTTTAAATAACTCTCAGATGACTTGTTAGAATATTTTCAGTACATTTTGGGTCCTTTTTAAGCTGCAATAATTATTTAAGGGCTAATAATTGGATTATGCCATGGCACAATTTGGCAGCAATTGTCCTCTGTTGACAGTCCAGAACTTTTTATCAAGTCAAACAGAAGTTTACAGATTTAGACCCCTCCTCTGTTGCTAAGTCATTCTCATTCATCAAGGTAAAAGCTGCAAATAGATTTAAGATTTTGGGAGCTCTGACCCAAGCTTAGAATCACCAGTTCAATTACCTCTGTGGAAAAAAACAGGTGACATAGGGTCAAATTGTAGCCTCTTCAGTCTTCCCAGCCTCGGTAATCACAGTCTCGTGAGGTTTGGCCGGCCCCCTAAGTACAATTACACACCCATCTGATGATCTCATTCTCAGGCTGATCCAAAGTCAGATTTTACATAATAACAGAACAGCGGTAATTTGGATTTAAGATCTTGAAAAAGAGCCAAAAGCTTTCAAACTGAAAGCCACAGAGCTCAGTGGCTCTGCATTTCCTCCTGAAGGAACACTATGCTTCTATACTGCTACAAACGATTTATACCCCGGGCTTGCAGTTGCATATGTTTGACAGAAAAGGTGCTGTCTCTTTTGAGCTGCAAGACTCCAGGATTCTTGACAATTTATTGTCAGGAGTGAATGCCATAGAGAGATTCAGGATTTTCCACTTGCTTTTTTGAGCTCCTGTGGAGTTGAGTCACCTTGACAGCTCTCATCCTTTGCCTTTGTTGTCTTTTTATTACACATATTTTAGGGGAAAACATTTCTTGGGCTAATAAAGTATTTTTTCCAAAGTAAACTTTGGACAGAATTACATTAAGAGCCCCATTATATATATATAGTATGAAAATCACATAAACAAAAGACCATTCAAAATACATGACTAGTATTTAGTTGCACCACCTTTGGCTTTTATAACGGCTTGCAGTCTCTGAGGCATGGACTTGATGAGTGACAAACAGTATTCTTCATCAATTTGGTGCCAACTCTCTTTGATAGAAGTTTCTAGATCAGCTTTGCAGTTTGGTGCCAACTCTCTGATAGAAGTTTCTAGATCAGCTTTGCAGGTCGGAACCTTCTTGTGGACCTTTTTTTTCCAATTTACACCACAGGTTTTCAATTGGGTTGAGATCTGGACTATTTGCAGGCCATGACATTGATTGAATGTGTCTTTCTCCAAGGAATGCCTTTACTGTTTTTGCCCTATGGCGTGATGCATTGTCATCTTGGAAAATTATTTCTTCACCTCCAAACATCTGTTCAATTGAAGGGATTAGAAAACTGTCCAAAATGTCAATGTAAACTTGTGCATTGATAGAAGAATTAACCACACTCATCTTCCCAGTGCCTTTGCCTGGCATGCAGCCCCATAGCATCAAGGACTGTGGAAATTTGGTTGTTTTCTTCAGGCAGTCCTCTTCATAAATCTCACTGGAACGGCACCAAACAAAAGTTCCAGCATCATCACCTTGTCCAATGCAGATTCTTGACTCATCACAGAAGATAACTTGATTGCCTCTCCTTAGCCCATTGCAGTCTTGTTCTTTTTTCTTTAGGTGTCAATGATGG